TTTACTTCCAAGCACCCACACTTGCTAACAACCCCTTGCCCCCTTACAAGTCAACCTCCAAATCTGCTCACAGGTGCACCTCGACCTCTGCATCCGTACAATCTCACAATCCATGCACAATCCAACTTGCAGGGACTGAGAGGCGACCAAGGTATGGTGACAAAGACTACCTCAAACGGCTGAGGAACACATTCGTTCTCTATTGTCAATACACTTGCCATCTGTCGTCAGATCATTTCCCTAATTGTTGTAGATAATAATGTATTTATACAATATTTCAATATAATTATAAACTGTTATTTCAATAACAAATGGATATAAGGAAAATTTTATCTTATACATCTTATATTTATATGTTTTCCTTGTTAAAATAACAAGTATTATAATACTTAGCTATTTTGCAAGGTACACTTTAAGCACTTGTATATCTTAGTAAGTACTACAATTCTTATTATTCTTGACCAGAAAGTCAAGACTTTTTAATAGCTTTCTTAGCTTCTTATTACCTTCCTAAAACCCCTAGGTACACAATAAGCTCTTATACATAATGTAGAAAATATATATAATTTATATACATATAAGCTAATACAAAGTTTGAGATATTTTCCTGATGTACTGGCTGTGAGTTAATTGCCTCTATTACTGTAAGAATTACAACTAAAGACTCCAACTGACCGACTGTATTTCTGTTTCAAATTTAATCCGTAAAACGAATTTGTCGTTCATTCCCAACTCGGCTACATATGGTGTGGCGATTTATCTTCCAAACTGTGTATATACTATATATGCAGGCGGGACAGTCCACACTGCACAGGGAGATATTCTCCTTCCTCCGACCGGAAGAGGGACGATACAAGGGAAGAGAATGGGAGAAGCTTGTGATGCCTGTGATAAAAAGGTGGGGACGTTTCGTCGAGAGTTTGCAGTAAGCTTTTCTAGCGTGCTACACGTATTTGTGGACTCGGATATACTGTGTACTTGCTATTGCTATCATTGCTTTTCGATATCTATATAAGGACTCGGACTTCGACTCGGAACTCATATTTCTTTACATCTTTTTTTCTTTGCTATTTATCAATTTCGAGTTTTGTTTTCAATATAGTCATTTATACGGACGGGACTAGGATATGTGAAATAAGCATATATATATGTGTTTCGAATTGATTTTCTTGTTGACCGCCATGCCCGTATCTGTGTCTCGTGGCTCGGGTTGAATGCGGTGCTCGGACACCTCGGGCATATCTTCGCTCTACATCCTACAGAGCCTCTGGAAATTTTTGCAGGGCATTGAGCCTTCTAATTGCATGTAAATTCTTCATTGTCAATCTCGCAAAGGCCGTATCTACATCTATCTATATTTATAGAACATTGTTTTTGTTGTACATAATCAATAACAACCGTCTTTGTATCCATAGGAACGGAAGTCGCAGTACGGCAAAAAGATAAAGAAAGGGACAAGGTTTGAAAACAAAAGGACATACTTTCCCGATTGGTACACTACTGCGCGAGCTGGGCTGTTGGATCAATCATTGGATGGACCCACAGCCTTGGGGCGGCATGCAGACCGTCGATTTTTTGAGTTTGGGCATGTACTCGGCACTGCCACGCCGAATGGACTTGCTTTTGTTCTTTCCAAGTTCAATATGCATAATGGGCCAGGTATAAAAGCCCGTCAAGCGACGAGACATTATTGCCCACTCTCTTATTGCATTGGTCTTTTCTTCAGGTTCTCCCGGTTCTATTTTCTCTACAGCTAGCTGCTGGGCACTATTAATCCTTTAGAACTCCTTGTATCGATATTGCATTTCACGACATCCTTTGATTGATACCTGCTTGCTCAATATGTATTTCGCTGCTGCTACGACTGTCTTGGCACTTGCTTCACTTGCTGCTATCCCAGCTCGCGGTGCCGTCTTTAACGTCACTGTCGGTGGACCAGGCATACTACGATATGATCCCGAGTTCGTGGTGAGTCTCTTTTGCTCCTTCCTTTTGTGAACCGAAGAATGATCTAAAAATAGACTTCACTTTTGTAGACTGCACAAGCGGGAGATCAGATTGTCTTCACGTTCAAGCAAAAGAACCACACTATCACACAGTCAACTTTTGCAAATCCTTGTTCTCCCGCGCCTGGAGGTTTCGACTCTGGATTGTAAGTCACCTTTCGTTGTTCTTCCTTGTATTCTTGTTTGGCACTATTGTTGACTTGGATCACTTGAATTTCCTGATGCGGAATGTAGTATGCCTGTAGGTGATGGGGTCACTGAGGGATTCCCGTCCCAGACGGTCACGGTTGGAGACACCAATCCTATTTGGATTTATTGTAGACAGACTGGACATTGCCAACAAGGAATGGTATTTGCGTGAGTCACTTCTTTTGTTTCGTAGTTTTTATTGTTCGATCACTTACGTATTGGAGTAGTGTTAACCCTGGAGACAAGTTCGCCGCCTTCCAAGCTGCAGCAAATGCAACGGGAAGTTCGACGACTACCGCTCCACCATCTTCAACGACGGACGCGGGACAGACGACTCCGTCAGTTGTTACCGTAACAGAGACACTCACAGTCGGCGATGGAAGCGCTGTCACTACGACTTATGGCTCCTACCCTGGCTCCGCTCAGCCAACAAGTGCAACATCTACTGACCACAAGATCGTCGTTGGTGGACCTAATCTTGTGTACAATCCGTCCAATATCACTGCCCAGGCTGGAGACACTGTCACATTCCAGTTCATGGTAAAGAATCATACAGGTTGGTATTTGCTTCCATGCGTTGTATTTTCCTAGTAGACTGACACATCCACAAAATAGCAACGCAGTCGAGCTTTGGTGCACCATGCCGCCCGCTTGGTGAGACCTCAACAACTGGCCAGACTGGGTTCAGCTCGGGATTTATGCCTGTTTCCGCAAACGCGACCGACTTCCCAACGTTCACCATCACCGTGAATGACACCGCACCAATCTGGGTCTATTGCATGTCAGTGCACCTCCGCCCGTCCTTGACACAACTGAAAGTATCTAACCTGTTTATGTAACTTTAGGCAAGCAAACCACTGCGGACAAGGAATGGTCTTCTCCGTCAATGCAATTGAGTCTGGGCCAAATAACTTCGCTGCATTCAAGACCCGCGCGATGCAGATAAACGGCACCTCTTCATCATCAACTGCGTCAGGTGCTGGTTCATCACCAACATCCTCAGCATCTCGATCATTGCGTGTCCAAAGTAGTGCGGGTGCGGCGCTTGCAATTGTTGCCTTTGCTGTTGGTTCCCTGCTGTAATCATCATCTCACGGTTTTATTGTTTCTTTAATTGTTTTGTTGTCGCGAGGGCCGGTCCTCATCTTCTGGGTTATTTGAAAGGACATTCGTATTTATTTATTCGTAATAATGCGATAATGCTGTATAGACGCTACTAGGCGAAGAATCTTGCATATCTTGCTTCCTTGTCTCGATATAACGCTTATACCAATCCAACAGAATAAAACCCTACAAGTTAATATACTGTGTAGAACTGCGTAGGATAGTAAATGCTCCTATATGAACCACGCACTCTTCGACCCCAAATAGCGTGCTAATGACTATGCGAAGATGCACAATCTGCAGTCGGTCTCTGCGTGTGAAGAAAGGGCGGAGACAAGGCCATTAGGAGAACGAGCACAAAATGCAATTGTAGTCGTGCATCATGTGTTAAAGCAGGACAAATCATTCCTTGATTATGCCAATTTTCGGAGGTATCCATTGTTCGATCACAGCAGCTGAACAACAACGTCTCAATTGAGAAAATGCATGAGGCGAGTCACAGCAAGCCAGTTCGCAGGATCGTGATGGAGAGAGAACAACAAATACAACGGTCCGCCGGAGCCGGTATCCGAGGAATATCTATCACGTGGTCGCGAAGATAACGCAAGACGAGAATATGACTTCAAATACATGCTTATATCCTAACCTAATGATATATCCACCGCCTGTCTTCTTGCAGGTCATTGCAAGCGATAACTGACACAGGGAAGAAACGGAGACGCCAAGTCTAGTCACAAGGCGACGACAGTGCGTACCGCTCGGTCCGCCAGCGGCAGGCGGTCACTTCAAGATGTGCATCGTTCATTTCAATATTGATCATAAGAATCCCCGGTTTAGCTTCTGCGATGTCTTACACTGGTCAATCTCTGGCTTGTCGCAAACCACTCTACTTTCATGTTCTCCTACTATTTGGTCTTGCTCGTCGTTTTCCTAGTGTCCTCTGTTAAAGCAGCTGCGACGCTCAAAACTAGTCCACGGCCAAACCAGTTCAAGAACCTAGTTACATTCGGAGACTCATATACCGATGTTGGAAGCCCTGCAGACAACGGTTCAGCATGGCCAACATATGCAGCTGCCTACGGCCCTTTCAACCTCTTCCCATTCGCAAAGTCCGGTGCAACGTGCTCGAATAACCTTACAAACCGTCCTGCGCCGTCTGTCATGGAAAGTCAACTTCCGACATATTTCACTGAAGTAGCAAATGGGACATTGAAGCTTAGCCCGGAGGAGACGATTTATACGTTGTGGATTGGGACGAACGACGTTGGGCGAGCCGCTCTTTTGACTGGTGACCAAGAGCCAGGCGTAACACTTGTGGATACAGTAAGCTGTGCGACCAGGTGGGTAAAGATCCTGTATGAGAGTGGTGCTCGAAACTTCCTATTCCAAAATGTACGCAAGATTTGCAACCCCATGAGGAATCAACCTTAGTATTGGCCTCAGATGATCCCTCTCGAGAAAACGGTCCTCTACTCCAAGGACTCATATATAAACCACTACTGGACTTATCAACGTAACACGACCGAATGGAGCCTTTTCATGACGGAACTCACAACGGCTGGTAATGCTCTCGCGAAATTAATGCTCCAAGATTATGCTTCATCACTTCATGGGGCACACATCGGTATGCTATTTCCTTATCTTTCATTTACGAACAACGTCACGCCAATTATTCCATTATGCAAGGCTTATTCGATTCACACGCCCTCTTCTCTGACATGATATCAAACCCTTCCCAATACTTGAACGGTACCGCACCGCCAAATGTCACTATCCCCATTAAATCCTGCGCCTTCCAACTAAATGAAGACGTAAACGATACCGGGAATTGCACGATTGTAAATGGTACTGATCGTGATAGTTATTTGTGGTGCGTACCTTTGCCGATAGTTTTCCTAACGCGGAATACTAAAGTGATCATGCGTATAATTTGATTCTCTGTAGGTATGATGAATTGCACCCGTCGGAACAGGCGGACAGAGTTGTTGCTCGGGAGTTGACGAACGCAGTTCTTCGTAAATCCAACGACTGGGTAACTTGGTTCAGCTAGAAGTAGCCTTAGTGCATTACAATGAACATTTCTTCATTCTAATCACGAATCAATAAAGAGCAAATATCCCCGAAAATCCATCGAGTGCTTACTATGAAGCGACAATATGGTTCGAGAAATATACTTGGCCACCTCACGAAAGAATGAAAGCATCCGCCCGAGGATATGGAGAACTAACAAGCAGTCGATCTTTCCACCGAAGAAGCATTGAGCTTCGCGCATCCAGCACACTGACATCGGCGCCTCTTGAGCCGGTAACTTGGTCATATGATCGGCCAACGAGTAGTGTTTTGAACTCTTAGCACAGAGCTATGTATTTGTATCGGACCGACATCTGAGTACGGCCCGTATACCTGATCTTCCAAACTTCAACTGTCCGGTACCGATACCCATATCGTTAACGTACGACTTTTAGAGGACCAATGAAGAAAAAGAAATGAATTATTACACTGTTTCTACGAATCTTGCGACTACGAAGATTTTGAACAACCTTTTCCTTCGTTCAATTAGAACCACGAAATCCACTGAGTCGGTATCCTCAGGATAGCGTTTGCAATGTTCCGTGCAACGGTCCTGTCCGACTGTTCAGACGGATGAAGCTCGTCAAACCTATACCACAACATGAATCTAACACATTTCTATAAAATGCAAGGATTGAAATTGTATACTCACCACATGAAGCTATCCCGTGCAGGGCCATTTACGAACGTGCAAGTCGGTGTGCCGTTTCCACCTTCTGGAAAGATGCACTGCGACACGGCACCAGTGACGTTCACCGGTACAGTTCCGTTCAAGTACTTCGAGGGGTTGGTGAAGATGTCTGTGAAGAGGCCGTGTGAGTCGAACAAACCTATTCGGAAGAGTCGTAAGTGACCATAATATATCATAGGGAGATCAACAGCTAAGGAGAGAAACGTACCGATGTGAGCCTCAGGCAGCTCTTTTGCGACGTTTTGGAGCATGAGCTGGGCAATCTCATTACCAGACGTCGTGAGCTCCGTCATGAACACGCTCCACTCGGTGGTATTCCTCGGAAGTAGCCAGTAATGGTTTGGGTACGAGTTGGCGGAGTAGAGAATAGTATCTTGAAGAGGAATCATCTAGAAAAATACGGATGATTTTAAATCTTCAATCTTCACGCTGCAATACTTTAAATTGGCTTACGTTCTGGAAGATGAAGTTCCTTGCTCCCTTCTCAAAGAGCGCCTTAACCCAGTTTACCGCACAGCCGACGGTGTCAACAAGCGTAACACCCTTGGTTTGGTCGCCCGTAAGCAGTGCACCAACACCGACATCGTTCGTCCCAATCCACAGAGTATATACTGTCTCTTCCTGATTCAGATGCAGCGTCCCGTTCTCCAACTCCGTGAAAAACAATGGAAGCTGACTCTCAAAGATGGAGGGGAATGGCTTGAAGGTGAGGTTGTTCGAGCAGACTGCACCCGCGCGGGCGAAGGGGAAGAGAGTGAGATTAGCATAGTCGGCGACGTAGACTGGCCATGCCTGGCCACCGTCACCTGTCGCTTGCTCTACTTGGGTGTAAGAGTCGCCGAAGGTGACGATGTTTTTAATCTTCGAGGTAGGAGGACCGGCAGCGAAAGCTGCTGTCAGACATGAGAGGAGTGAGAGGAGCGCAAACGAGGCTTTGAACATGGTGATGCAGTCGATAGCAGGTAGGGACAACACTCTACGATGAAAGTCGTGCTACAGCCCCGGGGCTTTAAGTATGTTTGTCTTGAAAGCTGACCAGCTGACCAGCACATCAAGACAAGCGACAAGTGTATCTCAAAGAGCCACAATGCCACCGACGGCAGACGTGGATTCTAAAAATACATGGAACCCCGCACCATCAACAACTCGGAGCCTTGTGATCTGAAAGAACTTCGGAAGAATTGGAAAGCAAGCATAGTGGCGCTAAGGACGAGCGGGAGATGCTCCAACGACGTTGTTCCAAGTAATATGCCCGCTGAAGGAGGCCCGCTGGCGCCGTTCTTCCTGTTGATCTACGTACTAAAAATAGTACTTTAAGGGTCACGTTTTCTGAACCCAATTCTTCGAGTTATAGAAGACAGCTCGCATTGGATGGTAAACCGCAGAATTCAGACTGGTACTGTTGTGACCCGGAGATACATGCGGCAGAGCAGTCTAGAGCGTTAGACTCGATCAGCAATTCGCCCTAGTCATGATGGATACACGGGCTCACGTAAGTATACACTAAGAGGGCTCGACAAGCTAGCTTAATAAATTATGTATAAGTGTTATATCCCGAGTTCTCCCTCCGAGTCTGAGATAATGGTTTGCTCTGCTATGGCCTCCTGCCATGCGTCACTTTCTATTCGATCCGAGGTCGATTTTACTTCCGAAGACGAACTAGCTGTCGGAGGTTGTTGGGCATCCCAATCTTGCATTTTATTTCTTAAACTCGCCCTAGCTGCTTCAATATGCTTTTTGAACTCAGCATTTCTAGTTTTCTGCGAAGTTCAAAGTGTTGAAGTTATTATAATAACGGAAATGATGGAGATCACGTACAATATATGTCTGTGCATCATCTATCGACGTTTTCTTCACTTCTTGACTATCTTCCCATTTCTTGAGTTCTCTCCTCAGCTCGGCGGTGGATTTCCGGAGGTGTTCCGCGCGGTCGAGATTAGCGTTAAAAAGTAGCACAAACCTGTTTTTCGCGCTTAATATTCGCCAAAATGCAACGTAGAGGAAACAAGTATTGTTTTACGCACTGAGTATGCCTTGCTATTAACTGTTCTCTTGACCCAGCGGTTGATAGCTCCTGCTCAGCAAGCATCTCGCGAACTTTTTTATCCTTGAGCACAGAATAGGACGGCTTTGGCAGCCGTTCTATAGTCCCACCTTCATTCTCACGAGACGAGCTAAAGAAAAGAAAGTCTATCAACTTCACAGTTTATTGATCGTTCAAATAAACACACATAGGTTTCTTCTTTCCCTTCCCTCTCGACGCCGGTTTCGAAGACCCGTTGGTCTTTCCAAGGATATTATTCCATGCGCTTTTGGTATCTGCTTGTTTACCCTTCGGTCTAGCAAGGAACGACTTGCAACCACTGTCAATGTGTTCATTCGCGTTCCTGTTGACGATGGATTTGCCGCATAGTGGGCAGTTAACGATGAGGCCCACTATGCAGATAACAAATATTCAAAACAATTAATATTAGTATGTATGATGAGAGATTCAGTGAGTGGAGTAGAACTGATTATGGTTTTGTGTTCACATACATTGCGTCTGAACCTCGTTTTCCTCGACGTCAGAGCTCGGAACGTACTCGCCATTGTGTGGCATCGCTATCTCCTCAAGTCCGGAATCATCATCGTCGATAACCTCTAACGAACTACGCTCAGTCGAGGGACCAAGTGTTCGACGCGACCTCGGCGTAACAAATTCATCTGTCTTGAGCTTTTTCCTCGGTCGACTGTCGTTTGCTTCGCTTTCCACCGCCTTTTTCAGCTTGTCTACTTTCTCGACGAGTTGTAATATCGTTGTCCTTTATTGAATATTGCAACAAGTAGAATCAGTCAAACAAGTCAATAAGAGCAGGACTGATGAAGAAAAAGGGAGTAAATGTACCTAGCTGTTCGCCAGCTATCGCATAGATCCTCAAGTTGTGCATTCTTCACAAGTTGCACCTCCTCCGCTGGGACCCGACACGTCGGACACTCATGTCTATCCCTCAACGAGCGTCGTACGCACTTCACAATCCAGTCGATTAGTTACTCATAATCCTCCATTCTCCAATGGATATTTGAAGTAGTAGCCTCACCATAGAACAAAATGAATGCCCACACCCAAGCATCATCGGCGCATCGTACATCTCTCCGCATATCCGGCAACTGAACGCACTGTCGAGCTTTTGTAGTCCTGGAGCATCTGCCTCTGGAGGAAAGTCTGTTGGATCTGGGACATCCTCCATGTGACCCTTGCAAGCAGCAGTGACAAGAACAAAGATGATGAATATATCGTATGAAGTTCGAGGTTGGAAGCAGGTGAGATGCGCTTGCACGTGTACGCGAGGCAAACGCGTCTGGTGTGATAGCTCATGATAGTATCTTTGCTTTTGTGTCATTTCTACCTAACATGCATATTACTCTGCATGCACAGTGTGCTTTCGATTCAGATATTCGTGCACTCTCCTTTTCTAAGGTTTGGTCTAGATCATTGGATGTTTTCTTATTTGTCTCTTGCCTTGCTTTGTGACTATTTATTCATCTTTTAATCGCTGGTTGGTTGCACTGCCCTTGCATACCCCAATACATTGTGGTTAGTTGTAAATGATTCTAATACCAATCAGAACATTGTTTCAAGTCTGGTGAACATGTACTTGGGCGAATTGCGTTGTCGGCTCAGACTCGGGAACAATGTACTGTAAGTGCAAGTGTTCCGCTCCGTCTCCAATCCAACAGCTGAATTTGATGGTAGTACCCTACCAGATGGAAACACGGATGTTTTGAGATGGTGTGTCCTCTCACTACCAAATATTCCATCATATTAATCAACGTATCTTGACGAAATGGGCTTCTTAACAGAATACAAAGCTTGCAGGAGCAGAATATCTTACTGAAGTTCTTGTCGTCTGGTAGGCAAAAATAGTAAACTCTGACAAAAACATTGCAACAACTCGAATCATCATATGAGTCCAATCGTTATAAGAAAGCCCAGGGCAAACCTTGTCATGTACATTCCCTCTCAATGACAAACACAATGTTCGACTACGGATATACCGTCACCTTCCACGTTCGGTCCAATCCTGAATACGTCGATCCAAGTCTGGTGCCGTTATTTGTCTCAGAAGTTGTCAACCAAAATTATTCCTACTTGGCAATGTTGACCGTCTTAGTCTATCATGCTCGTATGTCCTGCAACCTCCCGGACCGAATCTTACTGACAAATATAAACACAAGTCACAAATATGGATAAGGAGGTATGTGATACACCACCTCGCCGAGCACGTGCTAAACCATGTGCATGCAGGTTCGATACTTCTGGGTGAGTCAATGCTCAGGACCGTATGTCCATGGCGTAATAACAGCGTCCAAGAGCAATCCGTGTAGTTCTACAAGTCTAATATTTTTCACCGTAAGGGGGGAATCTGCAAGATTACTTTAGAACATTCGTACTAAATCTTCAGGTGCCAGAATCGCTACATTGGACTCCTTGGACAGATTTGCAACATAATTGGTAAATGATGTTGACATGATCCCACTAGGACATGCAAAGTAACTGACATGTGTATTCTAGTCGAAAGCTTCAACGAGAGCCTTTTGACGTCGGTACAAACTTTCATCATCAATAGTCAGTACTGACTTCGGGCCCGAAATGTGTCATTTGTAGCTGTGTGTTGAATCTCCAAATCATGTACACATGTCACTAACTTAATAATTAGGCCAAGCAACTGCTTGGATTAGTGACTTAAGCAGTGAGCAACCAAATTTCTTTAATGTTTCACATATTTACCCTGGTCATTAGACTTGGTTACAATTCAACTAATAGATTGTGAGATTCTTTCGGGAAATGCACTAGCTCATATTGTATACAATAACTATTTATACAGACATTCTTCAAGTTCGAGTATTGGCATTTTACCATCAGAGTAAGTACACTGTTTCTCCAGAAGAGAATTAAGCTTAAAATGATAGCAGACAAGAGGCTTTCAATCTGTCTCAAGATTCTACTTGGAGTGGAGGCATGCATTGGGCTTGGGTTTCTTATTTATGGTGACTTGCTTGAAGGTGGTAAGACTATCACTCACCTCTTGGGTTTAATCACAGATAGATTGAGAGATAATGTACTTCAGTTAGTAATGGAAGTCTTGCACTGAGTGTCACTATGTGTGGAGATACTAGAATTGCTCCACCAATGCTAGCTATCATCTCATGGTAAGCAATTCGTTTGCATACCTCAGCTCAGATTGATTTGGAGTAGGACTGCCCCTCTAATTTATGGGACGATCTTGCTATGTCTGACTCTGAGTCTCTTCAAGAGTGCCAAATATTGGAGAATGTTGTCCAAATTCAAAGGACTCTGTCTAGTCAGTGTCATTATTCAAGACCAAGTCTTATATTGCATCTTGTGAGTAAGAATTTGCATTTCTAGAGTGCCAAACTGAATAATGCAGTGTGATATTTTGTTGTGTAACGCATATAGTGGAAAGTACAATCACAGATATCAACTATTCTCTTTCAATTATCTTGAGTGCCGCTGCAAACCCTGGACTACTCTGTGTCCTCGGAAGCCATCTCTTGATTAATCTGAGAGAGGCGGGCGAGCTAGGACTGAACGGAGGAACCAATTATAGGTCAATGACTATAAGCGACATTGAATTCGCCGGAGGTTTGTCCATTTCCTCTCGTCTATTTTCAACACAGCTGATACACAGTAAGCCCTCCAGTAGCAGCAGACTCGAAGGGTGCATAAACATCTAGAATTTACTCTACAGGGCCTCCAGCACCAGGTTCAAACGAAGGAGGCTTATCTAGCGTTTAAAGACTCCAGTCCGTCGTACTATCCTCATCATGACCAGGAGAATCCATTTCCATTTTATTTAATACGCCTCCTTAATATCCTGTCCAGGTGCATATCTGTGTTGTCTGTCTGCTACGCCTTAATTTGGTCTTGCGAAGATTTTGTTTATTTATTCTCGTGTCTGTCTGTCCTGTAGTGCCTGGTGCCCTGCTGTTGAATATCAACTTATTTATTCATGCTTGCTGGTAAACCGTAAAAGTTATTGCGTGTATCTTCTCGGAGTGTACCTTATCACACAACGCGAACGACGTCACGCCTGGAAGGGTATTAAACTATATTAAACAGCCATACGAACAAAGGTGTATGCAGTATGTAACAAAACGACATCATGTAAGAGGGAAAGAGGAGAAGAGAATGAAAAACTCCAAGTAAAATTATAGGTCATCTATTGGACAGCCTCCTCACACTCCTGCCACAATCCTACAAAGAAAGAATTAATCGCATACAGTCAGATAATATACGAAGGATGAAAGCTAATGTGGTACGCACTCTTCAGCCTTGTTCAAAGCCTGTACCATCGACACGACCTCCTTACGACGGTTGATAACAAACTCTGACTCTTTCAGAAGTTCATCCAACACGTCTGGCTTGTACAGCTCTTGCAAGAGCTCGCGTTGCAAATTCTCCTTTGAGAAGTTGACGAGGGTCAGCGAGATCGCTTTCGGTACCATGTCGATCATCTCGCGCTTTACAATGTTGAAGTATGACTGAATCAGAAGTTCTGTTATAAAGACGCGTTGATTATTAGTATCCTGAAGTAGAACCCGGTGTTAATCAATCAAGACGCACTGATAACCTCCGTCTCCATCGTCTCACGTTCATTCAACGCAGCCTGGGGACGAATAACAGGAGGTGGCTGTTCCATAACCGACATCGTCGGAGTCGAAGGACGCGAAGAGCCCGTCTATATTCAATTTAACGAACGCTTAAACAGAGTACACGAGCTTACCGATTCCATTATCGGTCCACCTTTCTTCTTCGTAGCTGAAGACTTTCCTCCCGCGAAGAAAGACCCAAAGAAACTCGGCTCGTCTTTCTTCATGTCGACATCAAGGTCTTTGTTATTGTTGATTGCACCAGGAGCAAGCTTGCCACTCTTGGGGTCAACTGTAGGTGGAGGTGGTTTGTTCGCGTTCAAACGATCCTGGACGATTTGCATAGCCTGTTTAAAACAATTAATACAGAAATTATCATAGAGAAGCGGGATCGGCATTACCCTGTGGCCGGAAATGAAATCGGGATGTGTCGTATTGACGTAGCATGCTTGCATTCTATCATAACTCAGGATTAGCAACACGTATTAGTGATTATTATATCCAACGTACGAGACCATGTCCGTGACGAGTTTATTCGTCGGGTTCATGGCGGTCTTGAAGAAGTTCACGACTACGGAATTGAAACGGTCTCTAAGTTGCGGGAACCGCTTAAAGGCTTGCTGTAAAACATTTGAATTCAGAAAAAAAGGAATTACTTGTCAAAGATAAAGCGGCTTACGACTTTTGCCAACAGTTGGCCAAGGATACGAATCAATTCGTCGTAAACGAGCTGACTGCACTTCAAAGATGGCTCTTCTAGTCGCTTTATCTGCTGCTTCACAATTACTTCAAAAGCGGTCGTGCCAACGAAGAGAGATGGTGTAGAGCCCTTGAAGAAGATGAGTAAGCCCGGCGACAGAGCTCGAATAGTGCATCATTCAGCATACCGAAGAGTTATACAAGATGGTACGAATATCACCATCCTTGACTTGATCGAACGGATCAATTGACTTGACACCATTGTTGAACAACTCATGGAAGACAAAGCCGATACGAGCACCTCCTGAAAGCTCGTTTACAGACAAGTCATTCGTATTACCATCAATCATTGTCCGGAACTCCGAGGTAAATTCTGTAATGACGGAAAGGACAATGTTGCTCGAGTTGCCGTCGCCCATTGGTCCACCCAATGATTGAAGTTCGGCATTGTACTTGGCCAATTGCTGTGAGATACGTTGCTTGATATCAGGGAGCGTTGCTCGGATGTGGTGCATGAGGATCTACACAGAATAGGATCAGCTTAATTTGGACACTGGATTACTTGTGCCGCGTACCATGTTGAGTTTACGAGCTAAGAAGGGTGTACCGCAATACGCGCTCTTCCCCTTGTAAGATGGATGATTCTCGAAGAATTGACGTTCAGCTTCAAGTGCGTTTTGAATAGATCTCGCTTGGTCAATATCTCGTTGCCCACGATTGACCACTGGAACGTAACCCAAACGAAGAGGAATAACTCGCCCAGCGAGAATATCTACGACGTCTGTACCGGCGTCCCTACAAGGCTTGTCAACACCTGCTCAAGCGACGCAACAAGGACTTCGCAGAAACTTACATCAAATCTACTTTTGTCAGCACACCAATCGTTCTCGTCCCTTCTGGATCAACCTCGCGAGCAAGCTTCAAGCCATCCGAGTTTGCCAAGTCCGTATTGGCCGCAGTGACAGCAAGAATAATACACGCGGGCTTCGAGATGTATTTGACTAGCATTTCCTTAATCTGCCTCTCAATATCGCGAGGCTGGTCACCAACGGGCACTCGTGTGACACCAGGCAGATCGACAAGCGTAAGCGTCAGCACATTGGGTGAAAATATACGCAGATTGATAGGTATTGGCGAGATGCCTGCGTTGCGTCCTGTCTTGACTTCCGTGTCGCGAATGATTTCCGCACGAATCTTGTTGAAGTCGTAGAATTTTTCGCCGGGAAGGTGGAGAAACTCGCCCCATTCAGTCTTGTTCTCTACGCCTGCAGCGTCAGCAGAACCATTTGGTTGTGCTGACATACGAGTTCAGACAACAAAGGACGTGTGGTCAATAAAAGGATACGTACGGCTTGCACCGTTCACCTGGGGTGCCGGACGGTTGATGAGTTGTAACACCTGCACAGTGCATTATCAGACGACATTCAGGAGGCAATTCGCAACAGCTGTGCTCACCAACGGTCTTCGTGTTACAATACCAGTCCCACGAGGCAAGAAGTCACGTCCAACAATATTCTATTCAAAGAAGTCAATCCAAAAGTCATTCATGTGGAGTGGCTATAGTGCGCACCTCAAGCACACTACTTTTCCCCGAGCTCTGACTACCAATCACACATATCTGTGGCAGGTCAATCTGCGTCGCACTGGTACCAACGGCACTAAAGACATCCTGAAGCTTGTTGACGATTCCAACGATTTCGAGACCCAGACCAGAGGACATGGCGAGTAATTGTATGAAAGGAGGAAGGAGGAGAGAGAGAGAGGTACGTGCGTGCACTGCGGAAGATGCTGCACGCGTCAAGCTGTGGATTATGTCATCATCTCGTCTGCCCAATGCCCAGCAGCAAAAGTTTGCAATATTTATTGATCTTTGAAATAAATTGTAACATCTCATTCAGGGATAGCAAATAACAAAATGCTACTAGTTATAAGCTACAAAGGTGCTTCAAAGGCACAAAAGCGTCGCCACTTTAAACTTTCATACAGGCAAGAAACCTTCCTACATAATCAAACATTAATCTAGCGCAGTATACCGCTGGCATCGATGATATATGGAGACCATCACTTCGTTCAGCCCAAGTTCAGACGGAAGATATCGTTGAAGCTGATAAGGTAGTACAAAGAAGTATATAGTCAGTAAACACAACGAGTAGAGTGGCTATATGCGCAGCCACATACACATAATAGCTGCCCGTCTCTGTATCCTGAATGAGCTGGAAGACTTGGCTGAACGGTAGGGGATTTGTCTCATCATCAACCTGTCGTTGTAGCATCGCATCAGCCACGCAAATACAATATGTCCGAAAGCCACGAGAAGACGCATATACGAACCAGAAGATGTCCGGTGACGCTGACAAGCAGATTCGGAGTAACAATCGAGGATGGCTGCGCGTCGAACTTTGTGACCTGATGTACGACCTTCTGAAAAGGCAGGCTCTGAGGAAGGTGGCTCTCAGCTGAATGGTAAACTCGACGCGGCAATCGAACAAGCAAGACGCACCATTAATTTCTCCACGATCGTCTGTACGCCCTGAAACTGCTGTCCCTCCCAGGTTAGCATAGATTCATTTCTCTGAATGCATGAATAGTGATCCGTTAAGCTTAAGGTGATAAATACAATAGATAGGGTTTGGACGAACGTAGAGGGGCGTGAGTTGGCCTCGGTCCTGATCAAAGGTCTTGTAGTAAAAATCCGTAAATTGCTGTGCGATGGCATTGATGTCAGCCATAGTCGCGCAGAAGAGCTTTGTTTGAACGTAATGGAAACGGAGAGAGGACGCGAGGGGACAAAAGCAGGAGACGCGTGAGGGTAAGTTGAGTTGAACTTGCAAACACAGAGCTGGGCAGAAGGGCGCAGATCAGAGAGACGCGATCCTTACATAATCAGCCTGGAAGACAGTCGAGGCCCGAGGCTGTGTCACTCTACTGCTCATCGCTGGTCCATTAACAGCAAACGATGGCCGCTCAAGGCACTGGCGGTCAGAGCCGCCCTAGCATGCGCCGTAAATCCTCCGCCCAGACTCTCCTCAGCTCATTCAAGTCCTCCCCTGGCAACCCTCCCACGACTGCACCTGCTACCCAACTCACAATGCAGATCCCTGCAGCTCTCAACTCGGGTCTCGGTGGCTTCCCACCTGGGGGGACGTCCACTCCTATCTCGTCCACACAGCGCGAGTGGGACGCTCAGTCCATGAAGTCTGACTCTATCACCTCGAGTACTGCCCCTTTGAATCAGGGTGGTGCGAATGGAAGCCCTGCTATCCCACAGGGAACGAGCTTGGAGTCTCTCCGTGACCTGACTATGAAGAGAATGATCACCTTGACTTATCTACGAAATGTTCATGAAGGGTGCGTACATCATCACATCAATATCATCACATTTTCATCAAATTGATTGGATCATGGAATAGTCGAAGTCATTGGTTTAACACCGTCATGATGACAAAAGCAGACTTGGACAGAAAGTTTAACAACTTGACAATGAGAAAACGGTCAGGCTTTAAAAAGCAAAAGTCATTTTTGTCGTAATGCTGATTTGTTGCAACAGCACCCTTTCCTTCGCTATACTGGGAATGTCATTATCAGGCGTATTCGATAACACCAATTCAAACGACTTTTGTAAAAGTCTCCTCAATATATTAACAGAGTACGAACAGTCCAAAGAGGAGAACTACAAACCAAAGATGGTTCGCCATATCTTTTACGTCCCCATACATAATATGTTCATCCGATATTCTTCAGCGATTCTTTAAATCAAACAAAATGCCCCGACGAGGTACAAACGCAATGAACGACTACGCAATGACCGTGCCCGAAGCCGGCGAAGCCTCCTTCCTCGTAGCTCCGCATATAGTTAGTCCCCTCCACCTCCCTCCAAATAATACACCTCTAACAACCATGTGGTGTGAACCAGCCCTTCCCACTAGACTACCACCAAACTCTCCTCTCCCTCCTCGACATCCTCTCCGAAGTATACCACCGCCTCTCCAAGATCCTTGGTCCCTCTCCCTTCCCCAACACCGGACAATACATGATGGGTCCACTCGGCGCACTCTCCCCCGCCCCGGGTGTATCGTATTTGTTTCAGGGAAACGAGAGCAATATGTCGCATGATGGGGAGAGTAGTAGTTTGTGGGGTATTGCGAATGCTTCGGGGTATACGCTCCCTGGTGGTGGAGGACCGATGATGAGTCCACCGGCGACTTGGTCGCCTGTACTTGGGGATATGATGTTAAAGATTGATGGGAAGTTGAAGGTACGTCTCACGAACTATCAACTACGCAATTCTGACTGACGTCTTTCTTGGTAGAAAATCATCGGACTTTTATTGAAAGAGCTTGATGAACTCGCGCGAAACGCGATACAGGAAGAACTTGCTTCTTTGGATCCGCTTCTACGGAACCAGACTGTTTCAGATGGCATAGGTATTGGAAGAGAACAGTACGATTTTGATACGGTCTTTTAGATTGAATAAGCATACCCTTTCTGCGCCACCCTCTGCACATAGTCGCCCTTTCCAAGTTCGTTGTTTGGATTCGTGGATGTTTTATTGTTTTGTATTTCTTTCGTTGTTGTACTTTGCGATTATTTATTCGTCTTTTTATTGCTTGGCGGTTGAGCTGTCTTTGCATTATCCATCAATGCTTTGTGGGTTATTGAGTATATAATTCCATATACTTATTCAGAATCTTTTGTTGTAAACTGTACACATTGAGTTCAGACTCGGGCTCAGATTGAGGAGTGGTGATCGGAAATATAAGTGATTTTTTTTTGTCTGTGTTTTTAATCTGATAGCTATTATTGACAGTGTTACTAGAACAGAAATCTGACTTGACACATCATCTCAGTCCAAAACAGATACAAGCATGTAAGACTTCTTAGTTGATGAGCCCTTTTAACAACACGTAGGCCTGGTAGAAATAAATCATTACATCATGAAAAAGTCTTAACAGTTGTATTAGATTATAACCTAGTATATTTTTTACTTTTTGTAAATTTTGTAAAAGTGATAATAACTTAGATAGTGGTTTCACAAGTCAATTATAATTTACTAAAAGTAAAGCAAGAATTCAGAATAGTTATTAAAATTACTGATATTAATTATGATTGTACATATTGTCAAGATATACAAGTGATTATAACATACCTCCTAAAATAATAATGTTAGAATATACTTATCAAATTTTAACAGTATAGTATCCTCTTACAATTTATACCAGTCATTACAAGCATTTGAATAGCTTGTTTTGGCTTTGCTTACAATTTTGTATTAAATAATTAATAAAATATAATTATATTTGATTATAGAATACAAAAAGATAGTAAATAATACATTATTTCTACAATCCAAATCCCTGCACCACCAGCAGCCTCTGCCTCGTTCTTTTGCAAGTGGAGTTCGTGTCAATAAAGGATTAATGCGTTCTTGGGCTGTTCGATGTAGTCTTCGTCACCAGGCCTTGATCGTTGCTCAGTCCCTGCAAGTAGAATCGCGTACGCGTGTGAGTTGTAAGGTTGAGCAGATTGTGAAGGGTGAGGCTGTGTCTGTAAGACAGGTTTGGAGTGATTAGTGAGTGACAATAAGAAAGAAAAGATGGACACACAGTGATGGCGTGCAGCGAGTGTGAGTGGTCCATGCAGATTAAGATCTGGAGTGTTGAATGAGCTGACTCGGACTGCAGACGAAACCGTGTCTGTCCGCGTGCACTGTATGGTTTATCTATGGTGTCCAATGGGAGGCACAGTAAACTGAGTCGTCGATTTCAAGGTGTATCTATGGGACGTTCCGGCGCGAAAGGTAAAGGTGAAGTGGACGATGTGGACAGACTCGGCTCAGGAGAGATGAGCGGTGGCTACTGCTTCCGTTATTCAAAATGGTGTCGTGGGCAGCACTGGGGAATGTAAAGACACGCGGTGTGAGTCCATCAAGGATGTCAAGCATAGAATGGTGGGTGGGGAAGGAGAGTATGCACGGGGTCGGAGAGAGGATTGTGCCTTGGGAGTGATCCGACATGGACATTGTCGCGAGCGTGTCGCATGTGCTCGTCGATTGTTGCTTGCGCTGCAGAGCGGGAAGAAGAACGTGAATACATGGAATTATTGAAGAAGTCGTTCGGCATTGGTCAACAATGCGGAAGCGCGAATGCGAATGCAAAAAGGAAGAGGAACGTGAAAAAAGGAGGACAACGAAGGAGAGGCAGAGCAAGAGGCGGAGCGAGGAGCAGAAGGGATGGAAGGGAGACAAAAAGTTGGGAGGAGAGGGATGAGCAACTATTGTGCAGGCTATTATGAAGGGACTGGCTGCTTACGCTTTACACTGAAGGACGGTGTTGTCAGCTGGGTCGTGTCATTGCGAGATCTGAGGCTCAGCG